GTGCAGGTGTGCGTAGGGAGCGTATCCAACAGGGGAAAGAGACTGCCAGCCGGCGCAGTTTTGCTCTCCCTCCCCCGAGGCAAAGCACGAATGTGGTAAACTGCCTGTTTTTTTCAAGCAGACTAACACTTCTCCACCTCTACGTCTCGGGCTCGACGCTTTTACAGGCCTAAACCTTGCCCTTCATGTGGCTTGCCTTGCTCGCTTCGGTGCATCTGAGTGTGCTTTGATGGAGAGAGAGAGCCTATTGTGTATCCCCACCGGTGCTTTTGCTGCACTGCGCGGATTGTGTCGTTTGTGCCGGCGCATGCCGCCACTGCGGTTCTGGCTCCTGTTGGCCAATTCATTTTAGTTTTATGGGACTCCGGCCGCATACAACACACATAGACCGTTTCAAATCCAGTGCGCCACCTGCTGTGCTTGAGTTGCCCTGGTCACTCCCGATGCCGCACACTTGCTGGGCCGACGCCGTGTATGTGTTTTTTCCTCACTTATTTCTCTTCTGCCCCTCTTTTAGGGATACTCTTTTTTTTTTTTTTCACTGGTCACAGGCAGTAGCACAGCAAATGGCGGTACTTGGCTTTAACTCATATTCTGAGGTCATCGTCTACCTCACCTTCCTGTTCTTTGGGGTGTCGATTATGATGGTTTCCAACGCCATCATGGCAGCCCCGTCTTTCATCATGGAATTCTACAAGTATGCCAAGGGTGAAAAGGACACTAAGGCCGACGATCCGCTTTTCTGGGCCAATGTGCTGACGTACTACAACGTAGCCGTGTTCGGGATGCAGGTCGTGTGCGAGGTATTCATGCTGACGCCCCTGGGCCGGAGTATTCCTCTACGTCCCCGTCTTATCGTTGGTCTTATCATTCCGATTGCAGAGATGCTCACGCTGGTTCTTGTTCCGCTTGGGCACACAGGGGAGGCTGGCGCCAAGGCCACCATTATGGTCGTTGCTATTGTCAGTGGCATCTCGAAGACACTCTGCGACTCCAGCACAGGTGCCCTCGCGGGTCCGTTCCCGACAAAGTTTTACGGTTCGGTCGTTTTGGGGCTCGGTTTTTCAGGTATCATCTCATCCGCAATGGCGCTAACTATCAAGGGATCCATGGCGGATGACTTCGAAAGTGTGCAGACGCAGTCCCGCATCTACATTGGTGTCTCGATAGGAATTCAGGTCCTCTCCTGTCTCCTGCTGGTGGTGATGCCGCGCAACCCTTTTGCCCGTAAGTACACGGCGGAGTTCAGGTACATGCATGACCACCAAGAAGGACATGCCCACACGGACGACAACGAGATCTCCATGAGCAACGTGAAAGAACAGGAGGTGTCGCCGGTTCCCAATGAACATACGATTCCGTTTTCCGGCGCTGAGCACAACATGGATGTGATGCACGTTGTGGGCGATGCGGACAACGTCAAGGACATTGACCAGGTGGACAACATCACCTCGACACAACAAATGCTGAACGCACAGATAATAGTCGTGTTTAAGTGCATTTGGCCAATGCTGCTCTCCTGCTTTGTGGTGTTCGGTGCTACCCTTTTCCTCTTCCCCGGTGTGTTTTTCGCTGCGGGCAGTCCGAAAGGTTGGTACACGACTATCGTTGTCGCCATGTTCAACCTTGGTGACTTTTTATCGCGTTGTCTTTTGTTGTTCAAACGTCTGCATCCCTCGCCGCGCGTTGTGTTGGCTGGGTCGTTCCTGCGTGTGCTCATCGTCCCGTTGCTGGTGCTGTGTGTGCGCAAGATCATCCCTGGTGAGGTCCTCCCCCACATTCTGTGCCTGATTTGGGGCCTGACGAACGGCTACTACGGTGGCATGGCAATGATCCACTGCACCCGCACGCCGTCGCTGGTGATGGCTGGTCAGCGCTCCATTGCCAGCATCATGGCAAGTCTGGCACTTCTGTTGGGTCTGTTTCTGGGATCTTCCCTGGCCACGGGGGTGCTCAGGTGGCTGCCGCGATAGGACATACCTGGATCCGTGGTTTTCGACTTCCGCCGATGTGGACGCCGTTAACGGGAAGCATCATAATTTTTGGCGTTGACTTTTTTCTCTTCATTTCCCTTTTTTTTTTTTGTAAGCGTTGAACTTTTGTCTTTTCATATATTGTTTAATTTCTTTTTCTGTTCGTGTTGAGTTTTTTGTCTGCCCCCCTTTTTTTCTTTTCTTTTTTCGTTGATGATTGTTTATTTTCCACCAATTCCAATGGACGTTTGTTTTTGAGGGTGGAGGTCTCCATCTGTTGAGGGGTGGGGGTCACAGCACCTCACCGTTTTTGTTTTTTGAGCA